AAGATCTTTTTTGAATTCTATAGTTTTTTAAAATTCAAAAGAACCTTTAAACATCAAAATTGATTACTTTATTGCTAAGATATTATTGTTAAAAATTTGTAAAAAATTAAAAATTCTGTAATTTTTTAACAAATTTCTAACAATAATATCTCAGCAATGAAGTAATTAATTTTAATATTTAAAGATTTTTTTAAATATTACAATACTATAGAATTTAAAAGAGATCTTAATTATCAAAATTGGTTATGTCGTTGTTGAGAAAACTTTATATATATTTAAAAAAAAATTTATTTAGTAATTATATATTTGGGCTCTTATAATATTTATATAGTAGATACTTGTTAAAAGAATTCATCAACTTGTAAATAATATAAAGACCTATATTCAAGATTTTCTTTGTTTATAAAAAGTTTGAAAATATTATGTATGATTTTAAGAGATCTATGGATATAAAAAAACTTTTGTCAAAAACTGTATATAAAAACTACTTGTAGCTAATAGAGATAGCTTATTTTTAGAACTATATTGTTTCTTATATTTTCTCTCTAAAAAAAAAGAGAGAATAACTTTTTTTGGAGATAGCTTATTTTTAGAAATATATAGTAATATTATATATACCAAAATAACTAACAGTATTTACTTTCTAAATTAGTATAACAAGACAATAAACACATCAAAATACATATCTTGAATATAACAATTTAATCAAACAATACTTCAAGACTAGGATTGAGTATCAATTTTCTTATATAGTTATGATTAATAAAATTTTTTCTATTAATTTTTAAATTTTATATACTATTTAAATAAATTTAAAATAGAGACTAATTTGTTTAGTAGTATATAATTTTATAAATTTATAATTATAATATTAAAATAGACAATTTTTTTTTTAGTTTTTAATACTTTTTTATAAATTTTTTCTTGTTTATATCTTTTATCATTTTTTTCTATGTCTTTGTATTTTTTTTATACTTTTTTTGATTTGGTTTTTTGATAAATTATATAACTATTTTAGCTAATAATTAGAGAAACTAAATTTTCAAAAAGTTGAAGATCTAATATAAAACAAATTACTACTAAATAGAGTTATATCTAGATTATAAAGTCAAGTAAAGCTTTTTTAGTATAAAAATATAATATATAAAGTTATATTTATCTGTTAAAAATAATTTTTTAGTACTTCAATAAAATAATAAAGACAAAGCTATCAAATAAAATAAAAAAGATAAGTATTATATTTTTCTAAAAATAAGCTACTATTTTTAGACAAAAAATTATACAAAAATTTTATAAATAGCTTATTTTTAAAACTTTAAATTTTTTTAAAAAAATATTTTGATAAGCTAAACAACTTTATTTAAGAGTTATTTAGTAAAATTTTAATTTTTATATATATAATAATTTGTGATTTTTTTATAATTTTTTAAAAAAATCAAAGATAACTTATTTTTAAAGTAGCTTATTTTTAAAAATATATAATATATAATAATTTTAGTATTTCTACTAATCAAGAATGTAGTTACATGATCCTCTAATACAATTAGCCAATAAAATATTGTAATTTTATATAATATAACATGATCAAAAAAATTTAAAACAAATATTTACTTTGAAAAAAACACCTGTTTCTCAAAAATTTGTATAAAAAACTATTTTTAATATTTTAATAATAAAAATTTCTTGCTAAATTTTGCACATATATAATACTTTACCAAAATTCTAGATATCACTCTAACTCTAAAATAAATGAACTTAAAATTTTTTGATTATATAAGATTAAGATCAAAAATCATATGACTGTATTCTCATTTGATGATAATATTTATAATATATATACTGTATATTTTATCTAAAGGATAATTGACTAAAAATAATATTGTTATTAAATTTTTGATTTTTTTTAAAAAATTTTTAAAGATAAAACCATATCTTTATCTTTATTAAATTTTTAATTTTTTAAATAATTTAAAAAGGATTTAAAATTTGATTTTGATCTTCCAGGAAGCAAATCTAATAGACACCAAATACACGTAGGAAGGCAAAGGTATAAAATCCAAAATAGATACAATTTGAACAGACAAGAAATGGAAGAAAGATACTATAAAGAAAAAAACAGAAAGCATGAACTTTATAACAACAAGTGACCATTGTGTCATATGGTGCAGAATAATTACAGGTCTTAATATTCAGAAAAGAAGTGCAGCAAGAACAAAAAAAATAGACAAAACAAGAGTCAACATAAATTTTGAAAAAATAGGCAGAGAAGACTAGGAAGAATACAAGGCGAAATTGGATAAAGAAATTTACAAGAAATTAGAAGAAAAAGAAAAAAGAGAAAAAGGGAAAGCAAGAAAGACGAAATCCCAATAAAGTGAATCAGCAAGAAGAAAAAAAGATAAAAGAAGAACAAATAGAAGAACTATGGGATATTATAGAACTAAACATAAGAAAAGCAGCAAACTTAACACTCCCAAAGAAGACAAAGATACCAGAAATCAAAAGGAGAAGTACACTACCAGAAGATCTAGCTAAACAAAAGAATGATATATGGAAGCTTGAAAACTGGTGTAGTAGAATCAAGAAAACAGAAGATTAGAAAAAAATAAAAAGACTATAGAAAAAGACAAAATCTAATAGACAGAATACAAATAAGATAGAAGCTAAAAAGGTTAAAGGTGAAGAGGAATCACTAACCTTCTAGGAGAAAAAACAAAATAAAATCACATATGAAGAAGCAGAAACTTGGTGGAAGATATTATATAGAGACTGGAAGAGACAAAGAGAGAAAGCAGAAAAAGAGGAAATTTAAGATTACATAGAAGTGAGATATAAAATAATCATAACAGACCAAAGAAGAATAATCAATAGCCTATTCGAAAGACTATACCAAAGCATCAAGATAGATCAAATATTTAAGAAAAAAAATAGGAAAGAAGAGCTCCTTATGGAGGAAGAAGAAATACTAAAAGAAGTAAAAACATATTTCGAAAAGCAGTTCAGGAAAAGGAAAGTAAATCCTGAAGAATTAAATGAAAATTGGAAGGAAATATATAGATCAATTGAGAGGATCAATACGGAGAACTATAGAGGTTTAAAGCAAGAAGTGACAGAAGAAGAATAGGAAGAAGCCTTAAAATATACGAAGAACAAGTCAGCACCAGGGTCTACAGGAATTACCTACTCTCTTCTCAAAGAGGCAGGAAGAAAAGCAAAAGAACTATTCAGAAGCTTGGCAATCTATTGCCTAGTAGAAAGATATATATCTAAGAAATAAAAGCTAGAAATGCTATATTCAATACCGAAAAGAGAAGACTAATACTATAACCTGAACAATATAAGATTAATATTACTGCTAGAAACCTTCCGCAAAATAGTGGTTAGAGTCCTAAACAACAGGCTGAGTAAAATACTGCAAGAAAAAGAGATCCTGAAGGTAAGAAACTTCGCAGACCTATTAGGTGAAAGAACAGCAGCACCAATATATCTAATTGATTGCTTGTTAGAAGATATGAGAGAACAGAAAAAAGAAATATGGTTGTTTTTTTAGGACATAAAGAAGGCTTTCAACTCAGTCAACATAGAAATGCTAAAAGTAGTACTAGAAAGGATCAAGCTGCCTCAAGCTATGAAAAGTTTTATTTTGTAGCTTTATCACAGAAGGGAAATAGAGGTTATAACAAGTGTAAAAACCACAGAAGTATTTGTTGCGAAGGACAGTATAAACTAAGGGAAAGTCATATCATCTCTGGTCTAGAGAATATTCTATAACCCTCTGCTAGTAGCAATCTAAAAAAGAAAAAAAGCAGGGTACCAAATATTAGTAGAATGGCTGATAGATATTAAAAGCAACATGATCTAATAACAAAACCTAAAAATAGAAGTAATAGTATACGCAGATAATATAACATATATAGCAAGCTCTAAGAAAAATCTAGAAAGAACAATTGAAATTGCAGAAGAACTTTATAAGATTAATGATATAGAGATCAATCTAAAAAAGTCAGAGCTACTAGTCATCACGCCAGTCTACAATGACATCAATGGCTAACGTGGACTCTAAACTTCGTTTACATCATGGTGCAGTTGATAATTTAGCTTTGACAGAGCGACCACCATATGAAATTTTCATAGTAATTAAACAAACTTTAGTTAGTATGGGTATAGAAATAAAGCGAGAAGGAGAATTCAAAGTTAGATGCGTGAGGCGCAAGAGAAAGGTTGAAAGCAAACCATCTGCTAAAGATAAGTCTATAAAGAGCAAGGACACTTTGGCAACATTAGAAGGTTCTGAAAGTACATCAGATTTTTCCATTGAAAAGAAGCGTAAAAAATATGCTAGTGGGGCGTTTAAAACACTGTTGCGTCGTACAAGTTCAAACAATACCAATCAATTATTATCTACATCACACAGCCATAAATTAAATCGATCAGAGGAGTCAGTGTCTGCTTCTGCACCAACTAGTCCGACAATAGGTCCGATTATGACAGTTACGAGCCCAACCGATTGTCCCGCCCCATCATTATTACCAGAAGTATTATATGGTGATCCGACGACAGATTCGGGCGATGAAATCAGGTTTGCAGTAGAACTATGTCGTCTTAAGAATCTTCCTGGATTATACATTGTGGATATCAAAAGAATAAAGGGTAATCTTTGGGCATACAAATTTTTGTATCATACGCTTCTCGATAAATTGGACTTAAAAGGCAAAGGTGGTTATTTAACTATTGGAACAAGTGGCGGAATGATTCATGATGGGAAGACTTATATAGTTTAAATATAAGAATATTGAAGCTTTTTTTTTGTCTTTGGTTACACCTAATTTTCGTTATCAATAATATTGGATTTAATATAAAAAAAATTTTTTTTACTATTCCAGATTGCATGTCTTCATTTCTTTCAGTGTTTATGGACAGTTTTTAATCATTATCCTATTTAATATTATTGTTTGAAAAATTACTCTGGATTTTTCTTTAATTTTTCTATATTTGATTGGAAACCTGAATTAAGTTTTATTTTTTTTATTCTACAGCATTCAGCTTTACAGTTTTCTTTTTTCCTTTTTAATATTCAAATTTTTTTCCTCTTTATTTTACAGTTCGTTATACGTATACAAAAAATTGTTTTGATAACTCATAAATTTTGAAAAAAAATTTTGGAACTTTATTATATAAATATTATCAATATAAAAAAAATGAAAAAAACAAGTAACTATATAGTGTTTAAAATATATTATTGATTTCATTTAAAGTGTTAACGGTATAAAAAGATAATAATAATACAGTAATGTTAAATGAAATTTGCAAACTATACAGTGTAATATGTAATATGTAATATATATACTAAGTGTAATAATGCTAATATCACAATTGACCTCATCTTAGTTTTATTTCCTAATACGTAAGGCACCTCTACGCTGCACATCTTGAAATACGAACGCTTATAGGGGAAGTGCAGATTTCTTATCTTCCAATGCATACGGATTCATAATTACAAAGATTTTAAAAATATGATTACCGTTACAGATACTTATTTGGTACGTATTTTATTATCGTTATAATAATAACCCAAAACGAAAAGCTATTATACACATATAAGGTATGTATGGTAGCCAACTTTAATACAAATACAGTATATCGATATACGTACGATCCGTACGTATGTAATCGATGATCTGCGCACAAGTTGCTATAGTAAAAAAAAAAATCTTGCCTGTTTGCATAACTATATACCCAAAACGATACTATACGTCAAATATATAGTTCCTATAAAAAACATATATATGCTAATTAATTTTATTTATATTTGATATCGTGAACCTTTCTTGTTATTATTATTATACGTACTATTTTAACGTTAATATCTAACGTCAATAATATCGATATATGATACATTATTAATTAAGGGATTAATATTTCCTCTTTTGATAGTGCCGTGCCCCCACAAATAGGTTCCGAATCTCGATTCTCACCATCCAGACCATTATAAATGAACTTTTAACAATATCCATTATAGCGATAGCATCTCTTATCATGATGACTCATTATGGCTTAGATATATAATGAGAATTATACAATTTATCCTCCAATCGATATAATCTTTATTACTAATAAAAGACTATCGCTACCGATTTTCTCTAATTTCTAATCATCGTTTGATAATTGAAACTCACTTAAGCCTATTTATAGTATTCAATTCACACACAATCTGAACTATACTGTATATACGTACGTACGTACGTGTACCCCCCATCATGCTAACACTAGTTGGTCAGATAAGCAAACTCGATTCACTGAATCTAAGACCCAAAACATAACGATAGTTATAATGATATGGTGACAGTAATACATAATGTATATCACGGTTACACGAAAGCGTTTGATACATTATGACAGTTATACTGGTTGTTATTAAACCTTTCTAATTTATTTGCAAAAATTAAAAATTAACTATATATTTGTAATATACTGTAACCCCCCATAATAAGCGATAGGGTTAGGGGCACAGGAAAATATTTGGGCATGTTCTAAGGAGGCATGCCCCTCTTATTGTGCCTGAGCATGCTCCATAGATAGGTCAGCTATGATTATTACACTTTACTTACTGTATATTGTTATATATTTTTTATTAATTCGAAGAATAAAATAATTAAGAGGCAGACTACTGTATATAAACGCTTTATTCAATACCAAACTATATATATATTTGTTTTATATATTTTTTGTTGTGAGTTGATTAAATAATGTGTTTTTTTATCCAAAACATAGTTCACAACAAATTAACTAATACGTAATACTTTATAACATGATTAGGCGCGGTATTTCTATTTCGCCGAGACTGTAAATATTTCAATCAGATTGTTGCCTTTGATAAACTTTTACCTGCATATACTAGAAAATTTAAGCCATAAAAAGAATTTAAAAACTGTGCGCAAAATAAAACTACACTCTCTAAATACATAATCTTATATATACATATGAAAGTTTGGCTAGAATTTGTGTTTTAATAATAAAATTTATTTAAAATTATTTTTAGATTTTTATCTTTTTGCGCGGATGCGTTTTGCGCACCCCATAGGATCCGGTGTAACGTGAAATCAAAACAAACTATCAATGCATTAATTTTAGAGTAAGGGTTAGCACTAATTTAGGTTGCAGTTAAAACTAGTTATATCCAAAATTTTGCAAGGAATTTTTTTTTGTTATAACGCAAAAGGCAGTTTCATAAGCAAAATTATGAGTTACAAGCGATTTTTTCAAAACATCACTATTTTTTTCGATTTCACGTTACACCTGATCTTACGATCTGATTGGTCGATCAGGTGGGTGCGTTACAACGCACATGCGCTAAATTATATAAACCTTATTTTTATATATAATAATAACTATTATAGGATGTTCTATAGAATTTATACTATTGTATAGAAAAATTAAAAAATTATATTAATTAAATTAACTTTTATATAATAAATAAAGTTGTTTAAAAGAAAAAGATATATCTATATTAAATTTTTATATAAATTATATAATTTTAAAAAAACAAAAAAATCTACTCTGTCTATTGATATAGTTATTACTTTATTACAGTAATTGATACAACTATTGTATTTAATATAAAGAGAATGATATAAATAGATAGATAGTAAAGTTTATTTATCTAAAAGTTTGGAATAATATTAGTTAAACCCAATATACAAATAAACTACATGTTTTTTAAAAATTACAAGAGACAGTTATATAGTAAGCAACCTTGTAAAAAAATATAACTAGAATTATATTTAATATTTTTAAAATTTTGTTATTTTAATACTTGTTAAAATAAATTTCTCTTATATTACAATTTATTATATCTATTTCAAAATCAAATTTTATTTTTTTTATTTTTATTTTTTTTTTTAGTGATTCTGCTTTTATTATTTAAATCAGAAGTATCAGAACTTTACATTTAAACTAAATATAAATTTTTTATACTATATTCCTGTACTAATAAAGACTCACTTGGTATTAAAGCCCAGGTACGACCTGTCTAAGTAGCCAATTTGCTTCACGTTAGATTCTCAACTTACTAAGGATTTGGTTTCTCCAATCCTTAGCTGGGAGCTGTCAACCTTGTCATAAATCACCATTTCTTTTTTGTAATATTGGTCCATGAGAACTATTTCAATTTGATATGGTAGTTGATTAGGTTTTTATTGTTCTTTTTCACTATATTTAGGACTTGTTTTTTTTTCTTTGAGGACTATTTTCTGATTCTCTTTTTTTTGCAATCCTGTTTTTTTTTGTTTTCTGATTTCTGTCTTGGTCTCTTTTTTCTTATTGTTTTTTCTTTTCTTTTGGCTTCAGTAGTGATTTTGCTTCTTTTTTTCTAATCATTTATTAGTTCACATCTGAAGTTCCATATGCAGGTTCGAAACCTTTCGTTGAACTTCTTCTTGCTCGTATCTAACACCTAGTATTCCTATGAACTGAACTAAACTAAACTTTTGGCCAAGTTCAAGTTCAGTTCAAAATTGAACTGAACTTGAACTTGAATTTTTTTTAAAAAAAGTTCAGTTCAGGTTCAATATTGAACTTTTAAATCAAGTTCAGGTTCAGTTTAGGTTCAGTTCAAAAGTTCATGAATATGTTCAAGTTTAATGAATTATATATATACAGTATATGTATATATTATATATTATCAAAAATAATTTACTTCCAATA